ATCTCTTCGAAAGTGGCCATATCGTCGTCCACTTTCTCCCATCATAACCTAGCTCTTTTTCTGAGGTGTTTTGATTCATACCGAAATCTTTCCATCCTTGCCAGCGTTGCTTTCGCCACTATCGTGAGACTACGGAAGGCAAGTATTAGCTGCGCCAATGGCGGATATTCCTTGCCAATAATTTTTCTCAACCTTCTGAAAACAAAGAGGTCAATCAATGCGGTTACACGATATGAAATACTAAACCCACCCGTGATAATTCTCAGCAGTATTGGTTGTTCTCTGTACCTGGACCAGATACTTGCACTTTTCGAATGGTCCACTGAGCCATGTGTTGCGCAAGTAATTGAGAAAATTCCTGCACGGCTCGTATGCAGGGTGCCCTTGGTCCACGGGTGGCGTCTGCATCGCGTCTACAAGGTGGAAGCACTCTCGGGGTAGGAATGGGAGTCCTTTCAGTGTTCTCCACCAGCGAACGACGCTTCCACATCTTCCATTTCCTTTCAGGAAGTGGAGGATCCCATGGCTGTTCCGCTTCCTCACTCAGCCTTGGGAGATGCCAAGCACAACCCTTCGCCGAACATCTTGGAAAACCCTCCTTGCCGCATTGATCGCAGCCTAGAATACATTGAATTCGCTATGCAATGTATATCCGAAAAGGCACCTACCAGCTCGAAGTCCAGGACAAACCGCAGTTGTGGTTCCGACAACTCGCTTGCCTCCTGGATAGCGGTCGTAGTTTATGAAAAATCACAGCATAGTCCTCCTCTCGCTTATTTCCTGTTATAGCGAAGAGGAGAGGTACCTGAAATTAAATGCATTTGAATGAGTTCAACTTATAATAATTCTCACTTTATAATCTCCTCGACAAACTCCGTGTATTGTGTACATTTGTCCATCTTCTATGCGTACTTCAGATCTGCGGCGGTTTCATGAATTTAACTGATGGATGCCGTCTCCAATAAGCGCAAAAAGTCCGTTATCAACTGCTCGCTGAAATAACAAAACTATCAATGAATGCATTACGGAAAAGAATGTTTTTATACCTTAACTAATCCTGAGACATGTAAATATGCATCGCCGGTTCTTGTAGCTGCAGAAATCTGCTGCCATCAGCAAAATTCCGTAGCTCAGCCGACACATTTTCCATTCCTACTTCGCACGTCGTTCTCTTTATGGCTCCAGATCCCAATTTTACATTTAAATATTCTCCAACC